CATTGAATACTAAGAGAAGTTTGATGCTTAATGACTGTTTTGAGATATGGAGGTAATAATATCAAAGTCGTGCTAGTTGAGTGGTTGTGAAATTGAGAAATACTTGCGTTGAAGTTTGCAAGTCCCGTAGCATGCACGTATGGTAAACGTTGTGTAACAAATTTGAAACATGAGGTGTTATTTGATTGTCTTCCTTATGAGTGGCGGTCGGGGACGAGCGATGGTCTTTTCCTACCAATCTATCCCCCTAGGAGCATGCGCGTAGTGCCGAGGTTTTTGATGACTTGTAGATTTTTGCAATAAGTATGTGAGTTCTTTATGACTAATGTTGAGTCCATGGATTATACGCACTCTCACCCTACCATCCTTGCTAGCCTCGTCGGTACCGTGCATTGCCCTTTCTCAGATTGAGAGTTGGTGCAAACTTCGCCGGTGCATCCAAACCCCATGATATGATATGCTCTTTCACACATAAACCTCCTTGTATCTTCCTCAAAACAGCCACCATACCTACCTATTATGGCATTTCCATAGCCATTCCGAGATATATTGCAATGCAACTTTCCACCATTTCGTTTATCATGACACATTCATCATTGTCATATTGCTTAGCATGATCATGTAGTTCACATAGTATTTGTGGCAAAGCCACCGTTCATAATTCTTTCATACATGTCACTCTTGATTCATTGCATATCCCGGTACACCGCCGGAGGCATTCATATAGAGTCATCTTTGTTCTAGTATCGAATTGTAATCATTGAGTTGTAAATAAATAGAAGTGTGATGATCATCATTATTAGAGCATTGTCCCAAGTGAGGGATAAAAAAAAGGCCATAAAAAAGAGAAGGCCCAAAAAAAGAGAAAGGTCATAAAAAAAAGAAGGCCCCAAAAAATGAGAGAAAAAGAGAGAAGGGACAATGCTACTATCCTTTTACCACACTTGTGCTCCAAAGTAGCACCATAATCTTCATGATAGAGAGTCTCTTGTTTTGTCACTTTCATATACTAGTGGGAAAATTTTCATTATAGAACTTGGCTTGTATATTCCAACAATGGGCCTCCTCAAGTGCCCTAGGTCTTCGTGAGCAAGCAAGTTGGATGCACACCCACTTAGTTTCTTTTTGAGCTTTCATACATTTATAGCTCTAGTGCATCCGTTGCATGGCAATTCCTACTCCTTGCATTAACATCAATCGATGGGCATCTCCATAGCCCATTGATTAGCCTCGTTGATGTGAGACTTTCTCCTTTTTGTCTTCTCCACATAACCCCCCTCATTATATTCTATTCCACCCATAGTGCTATGTCCATGGCTCGCGCTCATATATTGCGTGAAAGTTTATAGGTTTGAGATTACTAAAGTATGAAACAATTGCTTGGCTTGTCATCGGGGTTGTGCATGATGAGAGCATTCTTGTATGACGAAAATGGAGCATGACTAAACTATATGATTTTGTAGGGATGAACTTTCTTTGGCCATGTTATTTTGAGAAGACATAATTGCTTAGTTAGTATGCTTGAAGTATTATCATTTTTATGTCAATATGAACTTTTGTCTTGAATCTTTCGGATCTGAATATTCATACCACAATTAAGAAGAATTGCATTGAAATTATGCCAAGTAGCACTCCGCATCAAAAATTCTGTTTTTATTATTTACCTACTCGAGGACGAGCAGGAATTAAGCTTGGGGATGCTTGACACGTCTCCAATGTATCTATAATTTTTGATTGCTTCATGCTATGTTATCTACTGTTTTGGGCAATATTGGGCTTTATTATCCACTTTTATATTATTTTGGGGACTAACCTATTAACCGGAGGCCCAGCCCAGAATTGCTGTTTTTTGCCTATTTCAGTGTTTCGAAGAAAATGAATATCAAACGGAGTCGAAACGGAACGAAATCAACTGGAGAAATTATTTTTGGAAGGTCCTATGTGTTGGTCGAATAGATGAATCTGAGATTGTGTGACGCATATCGTATAATCATACCCATGGATACTTGAGGTGACATTGGAGTATCTAGGTGACATTAGGATTTTGGTTGATTTGTGTCTTAAGGTGTTATTCTAGTATGAACTCTAGGGCTGTTTGTGACACTTATAGGAAGAGCCCAACGGATTGATTGGAAAGAATAACTTTGAGGTGGTTTCGTACCCTACCATAATCTCTTCGTTTGTTCTCCGCTATTAGTGACTTTGGAGTGACTCTGTGTTGCATGTTGAGGGATAGTTATGTGATCCAATTATGTTATTATTGTTGAGGGAACTTGCACTAGCGAAAGTATGAACCCCAGGCCTTGTTTCAACACATTGCAATACCGTTTACGCTCACTTTTATCATTAGTTACCTTGCTGTTTTTATATTTTCAGATTACAAAAACATTTATCTACTATCTATATACCACTTGTATCACCATCTCTTCGCCGAACCAATGCACCTATACAATTTACCATTATATTGGGTGTGCTGGGGACACAAGAGACTCTTTGTTATTTGGTTGCAGGGTTGCTTGAGAGAGACCATCTTCATCCTACGCCTCCTACGGATTGATAAATCTTAGGTCATCCACTTGAGGGAAATTTGCTACTGTCCTACAAACCTATGCACTTGGAGGCCCAACAACGTCTCTAAGAAGAAGGTTGTGTAGTAGACATCATGCGTCTCTCTGAGAGGAGCGACCTCCCTTTTATAGGCGCAAAAGAAGGAGACAAGAGGCTGCGCTGGGAGCTGAAGAGAACGAGGGAGGTGAAACGGACAGGCAGCAGGCGAAGAGGTGCGCCGTCCGTATTCAATCTCCACTACAGCAAAAATGTTTCAGCTTCCGCGTGACCTTTCATATACCCGTCATCCGTGGCAAAAATTAGACATCGGTTCGGCTCATTCCCGCAACTCGCAGCGCAGCGCGGCACGGCGTGACGAGGCGGGCGGCGGCGGAGGAGCACGCGTGGATGTCCCTCTTGTTCTCATCCTCATGCATGTGGAGAAAGAGTCTCCTTTACAAATAGGTCCAACTCACTCTAAACTAGCAATGTGGGACTAAACTTTAGTTCCACCTCTTGCCTTGCACGAATGGGCCGCGTGGGCCTCTAGAATTTATTAGGAATTTCTGAAACTGCTATTGGGCTAGGCCCAAAATAGACAAAATTCCAGCAATATAAATGTGATGCTTTGTTCTAAATCATGATATTTAGGTGCCGCCCGAACTTCTTCGGTGGCTTGCAATTAGTTATTGCTTCACAATAAAGGACTAGCGAGATACCACGACAAGATTCCAATCAATCAACAAGTTATAATAAAACCATTTCAAAGGACAATACACACACAAAACAACTCGAAAAGAATAAAACTACACCAAAACTTATATAAGCCATCTTCTAGCTTGAAAAATAATATGAACAAATAGTAAGTAGTAAGTGATAGGGATACCTGCAAACATTCTAGCCATACAAGAGCTTGAAGACCACAACAACCAATCACTGCTAACAACGAGATCCAATAGCCGTTAAAAGAACATCTGTTGGGGCATCACCCATGCTGGCGTAGACTTGCAATCCTTTATTATCAGTCTAGAGGTTGTAGAAAACAGACCTTATCGTACAACAAAATAAATGAAGAGGTCAAAGCGACGGTGTCAATAAATATTCCAGTCGCTTCCTTCATAGATGCACTAGCCGCCAAGATCTAAAGAGCCAACAAATCTGGCATCACACCTGCTTTGCAACACCTATCCTCACATGTAGTGACAGAACGTGAAGGGTAACTGGGGGGGGATTTATTTGTTTAAAAAATTGCATGATTAGGAGTAGTATGAGTTGATCGTTGTTCTTATCCAACACTTCCTATGAAGCACTCTATGTTTTTTTCCAACCAGAAGCACTTTTAGCTCACGCGTGGAATTATGACGACCAAGTTGTTTTCATCCATAATTTCAAAGAAAACCGAGACTGAAAAAAAGTATTGAACGAGAGCACACAAAATGAGTACTTCAGAGTCTTGCATTGTTTTTTTATGCGGGCTGGAGTCTTGCATTGTTGATCAAGCCACCGACACGACCGACCCACTGGCAGCGACATCTAGCTCGACGGTCACCGCCTGCGGCTTGGGGATGTCTGCAGACGCATTGATCTCTTTGCAGAATGAGCAAAGGAGACGATCGGTGCAACGATGACACGGTAGCCGGCGCATGCTAGGTTGAGATAGAACTCACTACTGATGCCGAAGAAGGGTCCGTCACGAGCACCACCAAGCCCTGCAGCCTGCTCCATGGTGTTGCCCTGGCCATCTCCGATCATGACAAGGACATCAATCGTCGGGTTGGAACTTCCTACGGCGCGCTGCATGTTACAGACGTGGCCACGACCACTACCTGGCTACCATTCTACTTCTAAATCGATCATTTTCTCTTTACTCAGCCAAAATATTTAGTAGTATAATTTATTTCTCACTTTTGGAAGGGGGGGGGGGGCGTGGCCCCATTTGGCCTCAATGAGGCTCTGCCAGTGCTCACATACCCTTTGTTAATGTCGAGTCAAACGTCATCGAAGTTAGGAGAGACTGAAGAGACCTTATTCCAAGCCCAGATTGCCGGTTCAACCTCGTGGATGCCGTTAGAAAAACAAAAACCAAATGAAACCATTGCCTATAAAAAATAATGAATAAGACGCTCCCTGCTCCTTCGACCGTCGATGGATGGAAGACGAGAGGGGAACCCAGACGGTGACATGGAAGCACCCTAGGTGGCAGCGGCTGGGGAGAGATTTCCATGTTGCGTGGACTTGGAAGTTGGAATGCAGGATCCTTTGCTTGGAGCCTTCAAGTTTTTCTCTCCCTGGAAAACGAAAAAATCAAAATACGCTTTCACGTTCGTATTACGCAAGCTCGTGGAGAGGACGTTCGCCCAGAGCAAGCGCATACAAGAAAACTGAAATCGGTTATGCCGCTAAAACCCTAGTAGCCCTCCACGAATGGTCGCCGCCCCCCTCCGCGCACCACCATGCTGCTCCGCCGCCTCCTCCACCCCTCCCACCACCTCCGGCGCGGCCTCCAGACCCTGACCACGACCACCAACCCCGCCGCCGCCGCCGCCGCGCCCTCGATCCCGCATCCTCTCTCCGCCCCTCTCCCATTTCGCCGCCTCCCCGCCCGCCTCCTCTCGCCGCGGCTCCTCTCCACCTCTGGCGGCGACGACGACACCAGAAGACCGTGGGCCTTCACGCAGGACTCCGGAGATCCGGACCCCTTCGCCGATGTAGACCCCGCCGCCGCCGTCCCCGGCGAAGCGCCGCTAGGGTCGAGCGCCGTCGCCGAGGACCCGTGGTCGAAGGACTTCCGCGCGGAGGACAGCGACAAGGCCGACGTGTTCGAGGAGATCTACAAGGATGCGGCCGCGGCAGCGCCTTCCGCGAGGAAGGCGGCCCCGGCCGAGCCGTGGACGTGGGATTTGGAGGGTGAGAAAGACGATCCGTTCGCCGCGAGAAAGGATGCCGCCGCGGCAGCGCGGCCTACCGCGAGAAAGGCGGCCCCGGCCGAGCCGTGGACGTGGGATATGGAGGATGAGAAAGACGATCCGTTCGCCGCGGCTGTGCTTGATGTGGGGGTTGAGGGGATCGCGGATGAGGGTGCCCAGATCGAGGAGCTTGTTGATGGGAAAGAAGAAGATGCGGAGCGTCAGCGGCAGGAGGACAAGGCGAGGGAGCAGCAGCTGATGGAAACTCTCAAAGGTGATCTAGAAATGCATATTATGTATATGTGCAGCTTGATTTCTCAGTACTCTGGTAACTAAATTGGCGTGCATGTGGTTGTGTTTATTGGTGCCGGATTAGTTAAGTGACTCTGCATATGGTTGTGTTTATGCGTACAGAATTACTGAAGTAATTGACTGAATGCCGAAGTTTAAGATATAGGTTCACAATCATAATCATACTAGGTTCCTGCGCTTGAACTGAAAGCTGCAAATACCTTTTTACTGATATTCGCTTGTCTAGAGATTGGCCCGTGGACTGTGAACTTGTCGAGGCATGCAACATTTGCATATGGTTTAGGATGTCATTGGTTTCAATGCTTCTTAAGGTTAACTTGGGATCAAGTTTGATGTAAATGTTTGTCCCCAGTAGTGCTTGCCTGATAAGGCCATTCATTCATGTTGTAAACTGCCCATATGAATGGCTAGTTTATTTGCCACTTTTAATGATCATGAATTCATAGTCTTTATTGTGCCTCTGCATGAGCGATTGGAGTATATAGTATGATCTTAGCTGCTGCGTGTGATGATTTTACAAATTTTTGTTCTGGTTTGAGTAAGACTGTATGTGGGGATCAACAGTGCATGCTGATATAAGTAACACAGTAATAACTAGGGGTGCAAGCGGCATCCTGCTTGTCCCAGAAACTTATCAATTAGCTATATCACTTGCCTAAAACTAACACTACATCTGTATAATGGTATTGTCGGCTAGCCTGCCCCGTATGCATCCCTAGTGATAATAAAAGTTTTCCCTGGTTGCAGGTCCGGATCGTGCATTTGGGGATCTCATTTCTGCCTCTGGGATTACAGAGGATATGATTGACAGTTTGATCCTCTTGAAGGATGCCAGGGGAGTACCAGGATTGCCTCCTCTAAGTGAAATACAAGATAGAGCTATCCAGAAAATGAATGCAACATCAAGCAGGGCTGAAGTAGAACGCCAAATGCAAGAGGAAATTGCTAAGGCACGTGTGAGACAAGTTGATGAGAAAGGAAGGGCTTATGGTACAGGTAAAAGGAAGTGCAGCATTGCCCGTGTTTGGATTCAGCCTGGTGATGGCAAGTTTGTTGTCAACGACAAGCAGTTTGATGCTTACTTCCCAATTCTGGACCATCGAGCTGATCTTCTTCGGCCATTTACTGTGACCAAGACGTTGGGGCTTTGGGATGTAGCTTGTACTGTGAAAGGTGGTGGTGTTTCAGGTCAGTTTCAAAAGTTCAGTCATCTCTCTACAGGCTAGGCATATCCATTGTCATGTCAATATGAAAGTGGTATTTTTACAATCATGTTAGAGGTAGATATGCTGGATATTATATGGATGCACTCAGCACATGGTAGCATATGCATGTACTAGTCCATGAGTTTTATGTACTGAAATGGGTCAGATACTCGTGCATAAACTAAAATATGCATGCTTGTGCAAAATTGCATCTTCACATGACACATCAATATGCTATGACTGGCATGTATTCAACAATTTATAACAATCTATGTCTTTCAGTTATGATTGGGTTCCGGGAGGAGAAGTATTATATCTGTACAATCATGGAGTATATATTTCTTCATGCTGTTTCCAAGGATTCTAGAACCTGAAATATGCTTGCAAGTGTAGGTTTAGAAGAACCAGTGTTTAACAATTCATCCTGGTGCTGGATCCCTTGCACCTTTCAACTATTGCACTTTCTGTTGCACCCAAACCTCTTCCAAATCGAGTTCCTTTTCTCTAACTGCAGGTCAAGTTGGAGCTGTGCGCCTAGGGATCAGCAGAGCCTTACAGAACTGGGAACCAGGACTACGCCCATATCTCAAAGCAGGTAAAAGCAGAATTAGAAACCAGGACTGCATTGCGCTATGCTCAGCGAGCATCATAGCAATTGCTGTCCTTTCTCACACGCACATGGTCTTCCAAAGTTACTAATGTCGTCATTTTTGCTCCAAACAGCTGGATATTTAACCAGAGATTCGCGTGTGGTCGAAAGGAAGAAGCCTGGAAAGGCAAAGGCAAGGAAGAGCTTCCAATGGGTCAAGCGTTAACAGGCTAGTTCTGCCTCTTTTTTGGCACAAAATTGTCAATCAGAGACGGTATATCTGACCCTGTTCTCGTAATCGTAATGCTTCAGGTCTACGTGCAAAATTACCGTGCCACTGGTGGCAGGTCCTCTGCTCGTTGTTGTGGATTTTCTAGTGAGCAGAGATCTGTATTCGCATTGGATGTGCTGTCACTTCGGCGGAAGGCCCGTCCAAGCTTTGTACTCGGATATTCCAGTCTGCATCGGTCATGGAGTTCCTGTGACACCAGATGTTCTATTTTTTGTATGCTGATACAGCAAATTGATCCGGGGAAAATCTCATTTTGACCAAAACAAGATGCAGAAGATACTTAGCCATGAGCTGTTGCCTCTGAATAAAACCGGGCCGCCAAAAATGTTCAGTTCACAATGTTCCTTTTCTCCTTTCAGTTTCATAGGAGGATGGCATGGATGTATCCATGCCAAATGAACGCAGCCGTTTTATTGATAGCTAGTTCCATACTGTATTTCTCCTTGGGGTTTTTCCGTGTGTGCAGCACAACGAAGATTAAATTTTATTTTTACAAAGAAGATTGTTCGAATTTCTTGCTTCTATTTACCGTAAGCTACTTAATCTCCTGGCTTTTGCGGACCACAATAAAATCGGATTGCATAACACAACACAGTATCAATAGGGTTCACGTTTTTTTTGAAAATTGTGTGGATATTATGTTCACGTCGGATCTGCTATGTTCAACAATGTCGATGCTGACCTTACAAAATTGGAAAGACCATCAGTCAAAAAAGAAAATTACAATCAAATTTGATGAATCTCTTGAGCATGGCTCCGCCTGTCCTTGATCACCTTTCTTGTCTTAACATCTTCTCGCGGTGCGTCCAACCGAGGGAGCTAGAGCAACCGCCCATCCCGACGTCCCTGCGCATCGTTGCGTGGTCAATCAAAGGAAAATGTCCCTCTCACCAAGCCCAGAATTTTTTAAGGAATGAGATACATAAGGTTTTATGGATGATTCTTAAAAAAAAAAACTCTCTTCGCTCTTTTATATAAGGTGTATTTTTTAGCGCAGGGTGACCAAGCACGAAATTACGACTAATTCATTGGTTCGTAGCAAGTAAATCAATTAGGTCAGAAAAGAAAGAGATACAAGCAATTAGAAGAGAGGTACATCTCTTTTTTCTGCAAGGCTAAAAAAGAAATTAGAAAAATGCATCTTACATTGTGAAATTTTATTAAAAAATAAATATAAATTATATAAAGGAACATAGGGAGTATAAGGATAAGGAGTGCCACAAGGAATCTGCTAGAGTGGGTATTTTGTGTATAATACCGGTTCTTAAGGAAAGGGGTCGTTTTAAGAAATCTGCTAGAGTTGATCTAAGTAAAGCTAGGTAACTAGCTAGGGTGGTATAACTAGCAACTAGCATCGACCAAAAATCCATCAGCATCGCGTCCGCGAGACAAGTCAACAAAGAACAAAGTTGTCGCCTAAAAATTCATCAACTTCAGAAGGTACACCTTCAAACATTACGATTACTCCTTCGAAACGAAGGTACACCATAACTGCTGGTCACTTAATACATAAGTACCTTATAGCTTAATATCTGAAATCAGGCACATATCCAACCATTATAGCTTAAAATTTACTCATAGTAAAATATCCACCACCCTAGAAATCAAATAACCGTCATAAAAACTGCTGCCGACACACCCAGGACTATAGCAGCACCACATGCAGTGTCCACCATTTTAAGTTGCTTGGTAAGCCTTCGATAATATTCAGCATCAGACCTGCACATGAAATAGCAATTGTGTTAGGTAAGCCTTTTAATGAAGATATTTACCTTTCAGGTATAATATTAATGTAAATAGGACTATCTAAGAGCAGCTCTAGCGCTAGATTCTTTAAAGACTAAAGGTTTGGCTGTAAGAAAGAAGAGAATGCTGCTTCGAAAGAATGAAAACAGTGACAAGTAGGCCTCACCGGCAAGTTAAGCACGATCAGTCTCAGCAAGCTCAGAATGCGATACATGAAAAATACAAGGATAAGAAATGCGAACAAATTGTGTATAATAGTTGTTCTTAAGGAATGGGGTTGTTTTAAGGAATCTGCTAGAGTTAATCTAAGTAAAGCTAGGTAACTTACCTAGCTAGAAGCACAAATCATCAGCTCAATTGGGTAAACTTATAACAAACATTACATAATAAAGCAATACATTTTGCTCAAATAAGTTCTTGATTTTAAGATAATGACATTGGGTTTGATAAGAGGACAGGAACAGTATCGAGCTTATATGTAAACTAAGCTGTACTACAGGCACTTACCTCAGAAGTTCAGAAAAACTATCCATGTCCCTGTGTATCTTCTCCTGGAGCCTTTCGCAGTCTGTTTCCAGGGCTTTTACTTCTTCAGAATATATGGTAGTAGGACTTCCTTCAGAAATGATTTGTCCCCCCTACAAGAATGTCAGGATATAATTTAAGGACCGCAGTTAGCTTCTAGGCTTAGCTAGCAAGTTGTGCACGTTTTGTGCAGCTCTCAAGTCAGTAGTATGCCCTATAAAAGGGCTTGTATCCATCAATTGTAAATAAGCAAGAAAGCATTCAGGCTCCAACCCTCAAAACAGCAAAGTAGCACATCTGCCAACCCAGTTCGTGTGTGTGTGTGCAATGTCGGTAGCTTGCATTGCATATAACTGGAGTTCAGTCTGTTTTTCTCTGCTTTGTCTGATGGAGGGAAGCTAGCTACCATGTAGTTCAGGCTAACAAGAATGCCCAGAATAACTAATAAAAAAAAGAAGACCATCAGTTGTGTATTGCAGTTGAAAAGTTCTGATGTACCAGTGCACAGAAGATCATCAGAAGAACCTACTAGACCATCAGTTCCGTATTGCATTAGAAGACCATCAGAAGAACTAAACAAAAAAGACCACCAGTTCAGTTGACTAAACTCTAATATGAAGAATGAGGACCTACTCAATAAAAAGTCACATGCCATACTTACAATCTGCAATGCAACATATATAGGAGGTGAGTCTATGGTTGTTCTCCTATGCAACGCATCAAACGGAAGACATACGTACAATACAACATCTATAGGCATGAAATTAGAGGGCTGATTGTTGGAGAGAATATGGACAGGCTCCAAACAAATTCAATCAAAGGAAGGGTGAAATTAGTATCATGAAAGCATAAAATTTCCAAATTCTAACCCATGACATACACACAGCTGTTCAGTTGGCTGTACTCAACTGATTCAATTAAACCAATCATGAAATTTATTTATGCAGCACGTACAGATGAAAAAAAAATAGAGTGTTCAACTGATTCTGTTTATAAAAACATGTGCGAAGCCTACTCTAAAATTCAAAGTACCCAAAGTCCCAAACTTGATCATTGGATTACCACTGTTTGATTTCTTCATGTATATCGTTCCGGCTCTCATCTGCACACCCAGAATACCACATCTTTAATTAAAGCCTCCTATATATCTTACCGTGATCTGACTGAGGCATTCGATTTGTTCATGTAACAACGCTACTGTATGGATTACATGGTGCCGCTGGAGGAGATGCACGCCGTGGCTATGCGATAGAGTGAACAGATGCTACAAATACGACTCAAATCGGAAATTCCTGAGCAAGGATTCATTTTCGATCTGATGGAGTTTAAATCAGATCCGAGTATCTTAGTGAACAGCACCCCCCTAGCATCCTTCCGAAAATTCTAAGGCAATAAATAAATGATGCATCAAACCCGGACGTAGCTGGTCAGATCTAAGGTTGTTTGCAACAAATTATGCATTAATTGTTGAGGTATTTTACTGACCGGACCACCACTGGACAAAAGCCGAGCAGCCGGCGGCGGCGAGAGCGCGTGGACGGGCCCCCGAGACCTGAGACCAAGGGCCGGCACCTTCGTCAGCAGAGAACGCAGCGCCATCAGGTCTTGCGAGTTTGTTGGCGGCGGCGGCGGCGGCGGGATCTAGGGTTTCGCTGTTCCTCTGCTTCTTGCCGAGCTAGAATGAAATAGTGAAGCGAGCGAGTGCCGATCGGGAGAACCGGGCACTGTAGCGGACCGAAGTACTGTGGCGGTCCGAGGCACTGTAACAAAACGCACTGCGAGTTTTAAAAAAAAGTTTTCTTTCTTTTTTCAGCATGGCAAAATTTCTTAAGGTCTGTCTATACAACATTTAGATGTGAGATAATACCTCACATGTAAGTATGATGTGAACGCCATCTCATTTATTTTATTTTATTTTAAGGATCCCATGCTTTATTATATTAAATAAATAGAAACTATGTTCATAGGGACCTCATTTTTTCATTGTTTTTTTTCATTGTTTGTCTGTTTGTTTGATTTTAATTTGTCAAAGCCCAAAACCCAAAATTAAAAATCAGCTCGCCCCACATCCGCCTGGGTGGCCGGCCTATACGTAAATCTGGTTGCTAGCTATCCATATAAAAAGAATCCAAACGCTAGTTTTTTTTTTGGAAAAAAAACCTGCTTGCTAGTGCTAACATCGATTTGTTAGCTTTTGCGTCTGATCATTATACATTTATAAGCACGTCTCTCAGCTAGCTTCTAGGCTACCAATGATTTTTTTTGACTTCTGGTCTTTGCAAGTTTCACTCTTATATTTTACAAATAATTTTCAGTAAGAAACAAAGTTTGGTCAAAACGTATTTCAAAAAACATGTTAATGAATTTGCATATTTTTTTCAAATTAGAAAAAATGTTAACAAATACCAAACATGTTAACGAACAATGTTTTATTATATGAAGATCATTTTCTGACTACACGCTATTTTTTGCAGTATACATTGAATATTTTCTAATATACAGTGAAATTTTCATATACGATGAACTTTCTTAATTATACATAATGAAGATATCTTTAGTTACACTAAATTATTTAAAACATATACTAAACAATTGATTGTGCAGTCAAAAAATATTCATGGATTAGAAAAAATATTCATGATTCAAAATTTGTTCGCAGATTTAGAAAATATGTTCATAAATTTGTAAAATATTCGATTTAAAAAATGGTCATAATTCTGAAAAAATGTTAAGGAATTTGAAAAATGAAAAGGTAAGGATTTTTTTTTAAAAAAAAGAATAGAAGCCAATAGAAAAACAAAAAAACTATGAAACTGCGAGCCCAGTTACGAGTCAAGGGTCGACTTGCAATTAATATGAAACAACTATGGGCCAGTTGCGAGTCAAGGGTAAACTTGCAACTGGGTAAAAGACAAAACATAGGCCCGGTTGCAAGTCAGGGTGGGCTTGCAACTGGGATGAAATAAACTACGATTCTAGTTACGAGTTGAGGGTGGAATTGCAACTTGGACAACTATGATATGAATTGCGAGTCAAGGGTGACTTGCATCTGGCCCATAGTTATTTCGAAAAAACATGAACATTTTTTATAACTTGCGAACAATTTTTGAAAAAATGAACACATTTTGAATTTTTAATTTGATAAACACGAACAAATTTATGAATTATGGAATATTTGTTGAAACTTGTGAATTTATGAAAAAAATCAAAAAGGGAAAAAAATGAGATCAACTTTTGAAAAATAGAAAAATTAAAAGGACAGGAAACCCAATGAAGAAAAAATGGTAAAATAAAAAATAATGAAGAAAACAAAAAAAACCAAAAAGTAACATAGCTACTTGGGTCGGCTCATCTGCAGTTTGTTCGCTGTCGAGGAGTAGACTTGCAACTGGGACAAAAAAAGGTCGGGCCCCGAGTGGCGAGTCGAGGGTGGACTCACAATTAGGACTAATAAAGGTTTGGCCCCAGTTGTGGGGCCAAGTTTGGACTTGCAATTGGGACAAAAAAAGTTGTGCCCTAGTTAGGAGTCGAGGGTGAACTTGTAACTGGGACAAGAAAAGGTCGAGCGCCAGTAGCAAGTTGATGGTGAACCTGCAACTAGGACAAAAAAAGGTCGGGCCCCAGTTGCGAATTGAGGGTGGACTTGCAATTGGGACTAAAAAGCTTGAGCCCCGGTTGCGAGACGAGGGTGGACTTACAACTCAGAAAAAAAGGTTGGCCCTAGTTGCGAGTCGAGGGTAGACTTGCAACTTGAACAATAAGTTTAGGTCCAAGTTGCGAGTCGAGGGTGGACTTGCAACTCGGATAAAAAAATTTGGACCCCAGTTGCGAGTCGAGGGTGGACTTGCAACTGGGACAAGAAAAAAGGTCGAGCCCTAGTTGCGGAATGAGGGTGGACTTGCAATTGGGACTAAAAAAACTCGGCCCCGGTTGCGAGTTGAGAGTGGACTTGCAACTCGGAAAAAAGGTTGGGCTTGAGTGAAGGTGAACTTGCAACTAGGACAAAAAAGGTTAGGCCCTAGTTATGATTCGATGGTGGACTTCCAACTTGGACAAAAAATGGATGGACCCCAGCTGCGACTCAAGGGTGGATTTGCAATTAGGACAAAAAATGTTGGGACCCAGTTGTGAGTCGAGAGTGTAATTGCAACCAGGGAAAAAGGTCGGGCCCCAGTTGCGGCTTGAGGGTGGACTTGCAACTGGGATAAAAAAATGTCGGTCCCCCATTTGCGAGTTGAGGGTGGACTTGCAACTGGGCAAAAAAGGTCAGGTCCTAGTTAGAGTCGTGGTGGGATTGCAACTGGGACAGAAAAAGATTGGACCTCAGTTGCAAGTCAAGGGTGGACCTGCAACTAGAAAAAAGGTTGGCCTGGGTTGCGAGTTGAAAGTGCATTTGGCACTTAAAGTATATTTCGGTGTGATGACAATGTGGTTAGTGGAAGTAATATCGGTTGCTCAAGTTTATCTCAGGATATTGGTTCCAAATTCTTCTTAATTGAGGTGTGCGACCTCCATTTTAAAAAGATCAAAGGAGAGGTCTACGATTCGAAGGTTTATTTCTGGTTCGATTCGAGTCGTAGGAAAGACCACACTATTAAAAGGGGTCTCTGAGGAAGTGTGTCGTGTGGGAATGCCATTGCCGAAACCTATACACCTAGCCGTCCCACTCCTATCACCTTTCTCCATAGTGTGCTAGTCAGGGTACCCGGAAAGTTTGCAACAGTGTCTTTCTGGATACCCCGTGCGCACGGGGGTCGACCACCCCTGTGCGCACGGGGTGTTGCGTATGTCTTTGAGTACAACATGCGGATGGGACTGACTTAGCCCGTGCGCACGGGGTCCAACGGGCAGAAACGGCTAGCTGGGCAAGAACACTGTAAATACCCCCTTCTTCCTCCTCCATCTCTAACCATAATGTTTCGTTGACCTCCACCATTGCTACACTCCATTTTGCTCATACTCTCAATCCCTCCACCCAAACTTGTTGAAACTTTGGGGATTGGGAGAGCAAGACCCGATCTACATTGACTAGTTACTCTCAATCCCTCCACCAAACCAAATCGCGTTCCCTGCAACATTTCTTCCCCATTGACTTGTTACTCTTGGAGCTTGGGCTCCTAGGCGGGTAGAGGTTCCTTCAGAAGCTTCCTTGCTTGTGGTGTGCTCCGGAGAAGTTTGTAAAGGTGTGGTGGTCGCCTTCAAGACCACCCCCGAGTGATTCGAGGCTCATCAGTCGGGGGTGACTCGAAATAGAATACGGTGAGCCTTTGTGGCGTTCCGCAAGCCTTGGCCCCCGGCACCGCTCTAAACGGAGAGTAGCTCTTCCCAAGGAAGAGTGAACTTGGGGATAAAATCTACGTCCTCGCCTCACTTGTGGTTAATCCTTTCCTGCACTTTACTCCGTCTTATATGTTTGCTGGCTTGCTGATTAGATTATTGCCTAGCATATTTGTCTCTAAGATTGCTTGTCATATAGGTTCTGTTCACCTAGTTGCATATCTAGTGAACCCTATTTATCCATTAAACCTTAAAATTGATAAGAAAGATTAAAATTTGTAGTTTCCTATTCACCCCCACTAGTCGACCGTATCGATCCTTTCAATTGGTATCAGAGCGTCATGCTCTAATATAAGGTTTTACAACCTTAGAGGTGATGACCCACAAGTGTAGGAGATCTATCGTAGCCTTTTCGATAAGTAAGAGTGTCAAACCCAACGAGGAGTAGAAGGAAATGATAAGCAGTTTTCAGTAAGGTATTCTCTGCAAGCACTGAAATTATCAGTAACAGATAGTTTTGTGATAAGGTAATTTGTAACGAGTAGCAAGTAATAAAAGTAAATAAGGTGTAGCAAGATGGCCCAATCCTTTTTGTAGCAAAGGACAAGCCTGTACAAACTCTTATATGAAGTAAAGCGCTCCCAGGGACACACGGGAATTATCGTCAAGCTAGTTTTCATCACATTCATATGATCCACGTTCGGTACTTTGATAATTTGATATGTGGGTGGACCGGTGCTTTGGTACTGTCCTTACTTGGACAAGCATCCCACTTATGATTAACCCCCATTGCAAGCATCTGCAACTACAACAGAAGTATTAAGGTAAACCTAACCATAGCATGAAACATATGGATCCAAATCAGCCCCTTACGAAGCAACGCATAAACTAGGGTTTAAGCTTCTGTCACTCTAGCAAACCATCATCTACTTGTTACTTCCCAATGCCTCCCTCTAGGCCCAAACAATGGTGAAGTGTCATGTAGTCGACGTTCACATGACACCACTAGAGGGGTGACAACATACAACTCATCAAAACATCGAACGAATACCAAATTCACATGACTACTTATAGCAAGACTTCTCCCATGTCCTCAGGAACAAATGTAACTACCCACAAAGCATATTTAGAGAGCAATTTTTATTGCGTGCACCGATGACAACTTACTTGAAGGATCTTACTCAATCCATAGGTATATATGGTGGACTCTCATGGCAAGACTGGTTTTAGGGATATTTGGCAGCACAAGTAGTATCTCGACTCGGTGCAAAGAAATTGGCTAGCAAGAGAGGGAAAGGCAAGCTCAACATGTTGGATGATCC